AAATCTTACTTCTGGTGAATGTTTTTTAAAGATTTATTATTTAGATGACTTACCTGCAAGCAGACTATATTGTCTCTGTACAGGATAATGATTCTAAAATAGTAAACAAAGCATTAGTTCCAACGTGATTAAACTACACTAAACCCAATAGCATCCACAAATATCCTGCCAAGTTGCAGACCACATTCAACTTCAAGTTTATTTGCAATATCGATTAAGGCTACCATGGTGGCACTTTTAGTAGTGCATCCTTTTGACGTCTTGGTCAAAGTTCAAGCTGCATACAACTTGCACTAGTGGGCTAAAATTATTTGTTTCGACACAGGGACGATCAAAATGACATATAGTAACATTACAAGTACCTGTAACCTAGAAAACGTAAGTCGATGTTGAAAAAAACGCGGAATATTACGCGTATGAATGATTTTGGACGAGAACATATTCGCCGGTACACGTACGCATGCGTACCACTATTGCACTTTGATATCGAGGTTATTTTGTCCTTGTTCAAGAGAAAGGGTTTCGTTGAATAAGTAGCCATTTAAAAGAAGTCTGCGAAAGAGCCTGTACATGCGCACAGAACGGTGCTGGGAAATAAGGTTTCTTCGTGGTTTCTTCTGCAGGTTGTTATCTTTGCACCTGCCTTTCTTCCGGAAAATGCAAAACATTAGGTGAGTAACCGCTAGTTTGGTTACGAGAATGACTGTTTTGAACATTGCAGACGTGAACAAATATTTTGATCATTTAGTTCCGCTGTATATCGCAATTACTTGTAATGGTTTTGCATCGTGTCTTCGAGATAACATTGGCAGAATTTCCTTTGTCTATGTCTGCTACGTGGGCAAGTGATGATGATGGCAATATTTTCACACGCATCGCTTATTATTATATAGCTGTCTTGAATAACAGCGCTTTAAGCGCGTAATCAAAAGAATTTCTCCGCTAATTTGGTCCAACAAACTGCGTGCTTGAGGGTTTTCATCGACTGGCGAGAAACCCGGAAGCGACGTTTTGCCCACGGACCAATACGTGGAGCTGAGAGCGAACTGATGGAAAGACGTAGAGTCTTTGTCGAATATTCTATAATTTCTTTTGTGCAAATAGGATCTTTTTTAATTCTATATTGCAGGCAATATCTGATTGAATATATTGATTTGATCTCAAATTGTATGGATCGGCGTAATTTTTGTTACTCTTCGGTTTCTTGAATGTTTTTTTTTTTTCCGCGGCAGCGTCGACCGAGAGACGAAACCTGCCACATCCCACTCTACGTTATTGCAATGCCGTAATGTGGCGACCCATGTGCTTTTTGCGGAAGAGCCGCCTGGTTAATTTAGCAGTCTTCTTCGCTTTTGTTGCTTCAATTTAGCATTTCCGATTCTTTAGAAATCAAACAATTGTACAAATTAATAACTGTTTATAGTGCTTATGGATTTAATTCCTAGTATGTTATGATTACATTATAAGTCTACGTGGAGTTAAACGATATTTCCCGGTTGAAGGTGAACACTCGGTCTTTTAATTAAAGGTCTTGGCCTTAAACATATAATATATACATTTCACAACATTTTTAGTAACTGAAATTGTTGTTGAAAGGAGGGTGGGTGAATTGTTCTTGGTGTTTTGAGTTAACCATTGCCCTCGATTGGGGGGAAACATGTATTGAAGAAACTGAATTAATTCTTTTCTTATGCCTGATTACCTCCTTTCAAGGCAGTGGGGGAGCAAAGAGATGAGAACAGATGGGAGGTTTGAGGAAGTAATTAAACCCTGGGATAACAAAAGGAAAGAATATCATTTTTCTTGGCTGAAAGCTTTCACCATGGAAATTGAAAATACTTAATTTGCGTATCATAAAAGGACAACTAGCATGTCATCTTATCAGTTTTCTTAATTCTATGCTTAATAATAAAAGTTGTCAATCAGCTTTTGATGCACAATAGAATTGAGTATTATCATTAAGGTGTATAATGGAGAAGCAATTTAAGTGTCTTACCCAGATTTCAACTCTTAATTTGACCTTTTATTAAAAAAAATATTTTGCTTAAAATATTAAAATTTATTTTTAAGTCTTGAAAAATGATTTAAAATATCATTTAGTTTTCTTTAACTGTATAGCAAGTAAATATTCCGTGCTGGCCTGTACCTTGTCACAGTCTCTGCTCCTTCAGGTTTGTAGAGATAAATGTCAGCGTAGCAGTTTCCCTGTGCAAAGTTCATCTTGTAAATTAAGCATCATCTTCAGCATGCCATTGTATAATCTCAGGTGAACCCCAGTTGTTTGCAATTCTTATGTTGATCATTGGACTGATATTCAAAGTATTTTCTCTTGAGTAAATTTTAAATGCGATCTACATCTCCCTGGTAACAAAAGGCTAAGATTCATGCTTGTGACTAAGTGATGTTTGTGAGTCAAGGTGATGAAGGAATATTGCTTATTCATATCTGTTCACTTATTTCATTAGCAAGTAATAATATCGCAAGGAGGTTCTGAATGGTGTAACAGTTGAGTCTTTCTGATAGAGACGTGCCAGCATGCTATCGATAATTTGCTTGACGGTGCTCATCACAGACAACTGTCTTTATTAATAATTGACTGGATCATGCTAGATTCTTCAGAAACCAGGCACACCTTGCCTTCAGGAATTGATAATTCTTCTGGAGTAAAGTTCAATTGAACAACAACTCTGACATCATAGTCTTCACTCTTGTATCACAAAAGCAGGGCATCATTCATCTGATAGCACCTCTGGGATTCTTCTTAAAGGTAATTGGTCCGTTAGAGTCTCCTGTTCATTTTCTGTGCAAAGTTTGTATCCACAGGTTTTGAATTTATTTTAATGTCTTGAGTGTCAAATATGTTTTTAACTTGAGTGTTTTGTTGAAAGATATTGCCAAGGTAGACAAGTGTCTACAAGTATTTGGTGGTTGTTTGTTCCTTGCACGGCATGAGACATTGTACAAAGTCCGTGGAAACTAGAAAAGGTGTATAACGTGTACGTGACATCCATAGTCAGGCCAGACTATCACAAGATATTAATAATACCTGACTTAATTTAATCGATAATTATAATTGTCAGTGTTTAAGATTTTGTTTAAAAGAATATATTAGATTTAAAAAAACGCATTCTTTAAAAAATATTTGCTTACAAATCAAAATTGAAAAATTTGTTTTCGCGGTTTAAAGGAGGGAAGTTTTTTTTTATCAGTTTAGTTTGTGTATGCTGTGAAGGTTAAGATAAAGAAAGATTTGGAGGACAAATACTATCTTCTCTAGGCAAACACCTTGAATGAATGTCTTCTTTTGATATAGGTCTGCAGAGATAGCATTGTGACACAGTACCATTGAAAAAAAAAAATCAGAAAATGTAAATTTGATGTTTCTATTGTTTCTCAAAGAATGACTAGAGAAACATGGAACTTTGTCTTTTGATTATCAGCAATCACTCTATAAATCTTCAGACTTTCTTTGTAAGGAATATCAAATTGGATTACATTAAGTGATTAGATGAACATTTTGTTGCTTTGAGATATTCAATTTTTTTTTCTAATTTTTGACTTAAAATAAATCTCTTGATCTAGGATAGCCTCAAGGATGGATCTTATGATTGTTTCAGTGATGTCATTGTGAAGTAAAAAAAATTTAATCAAATAATTTGATATTGCTTTAATTATGATTGCTACATGAAAGGAATGCCATAGGGGTAGAAACTGACTCTATTCAATATTTAAGCACATTGGGTACTCTATCTTAGAATTTCTATTATAAATCAATAGGGATTTGGTAATATATTGCCTGCTACCCCCTAGTAATGTAATACATGCTGCCCCCAAGTAATGTTGGTATTGTCTGTTATGATGGGGGGTTGTATATATGTCCAGGGGTGTAGGGACTTTAATTGCTATAATAACCTTGGAATATCAAGTGACATATAGTTGCTCATTCAAATTAGAAAACTACACTTCAAGAAAGACTAGAGGAGACAAAAGCAGTGGTTGGGGCATGAGGATGAGGCATGTGTAGCAATAGAACAATACGTTCCAACAATTGCTCCATCCCAGCTGTGTCTTCTCGTGGCTCATAATTATTTCTTTGATTGTGTTGGAACAAAAGAACTCTTTGCCCCCATGTACCGTAGAAAACTGTACTTCATGTTTTGATCTTCTAAACTTAGTGGACCGATCACTTAGTCATGTTTTGTTGATTTTGATTATAAAATGTGGCAGTGTTATAGGACAAAAGCAGACGGGCAATTATAACCAGGTCATAGTGCGGTTATATAAGTTGTGTTATGCTACAACCAGTTATGAACTTTTGTTTAACAAGTAAGGAAGCTATTTGAGCGATTCTATAAATAGTAAAAAATAAATGCCTGAATTAGTGTTAATCGTTCAGTATTCCTTCAGTGAAAACATACCAAGTTGAAACATGTTTTATTTATTTTTTTTGTTTAGTTTAGCATGCATGGGAAAAAATTATTCGCCCATAAAGTAGCCTATTGTAAGGTTAAAAGTGTAATTTAATATTTCTTAAAAGTGTTTCAATAAAAGATCATTATTTTATATTTTGAAAGGATTGCATTGTGACCTCTGCCCAGTGGAAATATCCATTAATGTTTCATCTCTGGCACATAAGGTAAAATTTTGTTGAATACAATATTACCTTGTGTGAATTTGAGTTGAGTTTTTTTATCTTTCTGGCCTTGGTTTATCACACTGTTCTTTTTTTATCATTTTGAAGATTTAATTGAAAAAAAAGATTTGCTTTATTAACTGTGTACAAAAACACTAATATAATTTTTCTTGTTTATGCTATATATTATAAAAAAAAGTGGTATTTGTTAAATATTTTGGCTTCCAAATTGTGTCCTGAATCCACTTTAATTATTCAGTCTTGAATGACGTTATTGTGTATCATGCTGGTGTCACATGACTGACTCATCAACGCACCATCAGGCAGTAATATTAAGCTGTCCCCAATTCTAAGATGGCATCACCCATTGTTATGCTAATGAACAGCAATTTATGTGTCGTATCTGGAAGGATTTCTTTGTGTTGAGGTGGCATTCTCAGGGGCTGTCAGCTTGCAGTAATTTAATGTGTGTGATTAATCTTCAGAATATAGCATTACGTATGTATACCTTCTGTCTCTCCTGCTGTGTGCTAGTAGCAGGTTGTTTTGAAGGAGTCGTACCATGAAAAATATTCGTAGGGTTCTTTGTACTGTGATGAATGATTGGTAAGAAGGTGAAACGAAGGCCCCAGGCTTTATATCAAAGGGACCATATGCTACTAGCAGGGATTATCATGCATGCCCACTTCCCTTACCTTTGTCTTTCTTTTTCTCCAAAATAATATTTCCTTTGTGTAAGTATGTAGTTCCTTTATGGCAGTGGCTCCCCAGTAATGTGCCTCATAATGGCAGTCTTTGCCAGAAACTGAAATATGTTAATGCGACAATTGAGTTTAAATGGCAACCATTAGACAGGAAAACATTTTAAATTCTATTTCCTTGGGAGGAAAATGAGAGATCACCCGCTGATTTTAATAATGCAAATATAGTGTTATTATGCAGTCTTGGCAATATGTTTAGTATGCAAGTATGTGGTAGGGAGCACTCTCTTTTCCATTCACTGTTATTCAGAGTGTGTAACAGCCTTGTACGGACTTAATTTTTGCTGGTAGCATACTCTTAAGACCCGACTCATTGGAGCATACATGTATGTGCGGCACAGATGTTGCCTTTACGGCAAAGGAGAATGGAGACATTATGCGAGACATGCTTAGTTATTAATATTTGTAATATTTACCGGAGAGGTCAAGCTATTTATATGGATTTCTTAATTACATTTTCATATTTTTTTTTCAGATAAGGTGAAATTTGAAAAGAAAAAAACTTAGAAGGCAGGGAGATTGAAAAAAAAATACTAACGCAAGGTTAATTGTAGAGCAGCAAGAAAAGAGCCGTATAGGAGGCAGGAAGTGGAAAACAGTGTGCATTGAAGTGGTAAAGCTTAAGCATTGTATTCGTGATCAAACTCGACACAGCTGGGGAGAACGACTGCTAAGCAGTGAAAGATGGCTGAGGTTGATGATATTTCCATTCGTCAGTCTAAAAGACGTCGTGTAGACACGGGTTTGCCACGTAATACATATGGACAGTCACAGACACTTGTTCGGGCAATGAATGGCAATACTACTGTTGACAGCAATCAGGTACTGAGGCGACTGCTGAAACCAAGCAACAACAACCAAGAAGGCATGAACGTTGATGGAGATGAAAATCTGAGTGCTTCCATGTTATTAAGCAAATCAAAACAAAATGGTGATGATTGTCAGCAGGGTGAAAATGGAGTCTCATACATGGAAGACTACAGTGAAGGTGGTCTCTGTATCGATGAAGGCGACTTGGCCAACAAGGAAAATGGTGATGATAATCCACGAACTGTGGAAGACATGAGTGAAGACTCCAGTCATTCTTTTCTCAATGGAGGGTCCAAACATGATGAAAAGTGCAATAATGTTGTCAAAGTTGAAGAAAGTATGTTGGCGAAGCGTGCCAGAGTGGAAAATATTGTGACAAGTATGCGACAGTCTCCGTCTCGGCTAAGTGAATGCAAGATCAGCCCCGGCAATGAAGCTAGGAAACAAAAACGTAAACAGAATACACCACAACCTCAGAGAGTCCTTCCGCTGGAAGAAAAACAAGAAACTCGCAAGGAAAAGAAAAAGCACCTGAAGCACCTTCTCTCTGAACTACAAGATCATTTGAATAAACTACAAAGCAAATACTTTGAACTTTACGAACACGAAGAAACTGATTCAGACATGGATGAAGACATCGAAAATGGAGTCATGAATTTTATTAAGGGAGCGGACAAGGACTACAAATCAAGTAAAACTGACCATGTCAAATCAAAAGACAATAAAAACACAACCACTGGCAACAATGTGCAATCGAAGAAAGAAGCTGCAATAGTAAATGGAGAGGAAAAAGATTTGTTTTCTGATGCTTTGAAGAATGAACTGACAACTGCTGTTAGTGATGTAGTCGATTCTGTGGTTAGAAAGTTTGTCAAGGAGAAGCAAACAAACAGTCAGTCTCCTCCTTCTTCCTCATCATCTTCAATCACTTCCTCTTCCCCAGTGACCGATTCCTGCAATATGACAGTTGCTCATGAAAACCATAACTTGTTGTTCAATAACAACACATCATGTCTAGGACAGTTCGCTAAAAATGGTTATAACAGAGAGTCCAACTACCAGTCTGAACAAACTGAAGCTCTTCCTTTGGTTGTTTCGCACAAAAATCGTGATAGACCATCACGAGAAAGTACACCAAGAATGGAAGTTCATCACGACTTTGAGCCAGCAGTGCCTGCTACCCTGCCTACATCGGTAGCAATTCCCAATCCTGGTCTTCAGTATTCCTTAGTACCTCATTTAGCAGTGTCTTTAGCAGAGTCTCACGAAGCACTTGACATGAGCAGCTTTAGTGGGGGTTCTCTACTAGCCAGCCAGGCTGCAGCACTCCACACTTTACACCAACAAGGAGCAAGAGTGCGTCACGAGATGTCTCACCATCAACCAGAAGGATTATCGTTGTCGTTAATGAAATCTGAGTCCGATATGAGTCCAATTCATCATCATCATCACCATCATGATTTAAGTGGACTGGATACTTCAAGTTACAGTGCTCCCAACAGTGCCATATCCTTTTACATTATTCTTATTTCCATATACTTGTACCATGGGGATTTTTGTACACAAGTGGCTGTCAATAAATTGTTTGCATTCAATTGGAGGGAGGGAGGGAGGGAGGGAGAGGGGGGAGAGGGGGTATTGTGCTTTCTATTTAAAATATAGTGAGATTGGTTGAGTAGGAAATTATGCTAATTTATTAACTATGGTTTTGTACACATACTTATAAAATGTTGGCTTTCTTAATGCTTAAATATTATTTTTTCAGTACTTTCTCTTGCGTAATATTCCTTAACTCTTATTCACTCTCTGAATACAACGCTGACACCAGCCCATTTGAAGAAAGCCAAATTGATGTTCTTCTTCGCTCGCTATCCCAGCTCAACAGTCCTGAAACAGCACTTCCCTGATGTCAAATTCAACCGCCACAACACTGCTCAACTCATCAAGTGGTTCAGCAATTTCCGTGAATTCTACTACATCCAGATGGAGAAGTTTGCAAGGCAGTATATGAGTGAAGGGGTGAAGAACCCTGAAATGTTGCAGGTCTTACGAGATGCAGAGCTTTTTAAGGTCCTTAATCTTCACTATAACAAGAGCAATGAATTTGAGGTATGTACAATACCCCTGTTGTCTTGCCTTTCCAATAGAGTGCTTAGAGTTAAATAATTTGCTTTTCATATTCAATATAGCAATATTATTTTTTGACATGGATAATGGCCAAACTACAAATTAATGGTTTCAAAAAAACTATCATCTTTAGTACAAAGTGAAACCAGCAACTTTATTGTAGATGAATGACATTAGTAATGAAAACAACTTGATACTTCAATGAGCACTTAGATGTTAAACCTCCTCATGATGGGTTTGTTTTTCTCCCCCAGTATACGCAATGCTTGTATTATTCTGCTTAAGTTGATTGGTAGACAAATTCAAAAAGGAAAGAGGAAACTGGTAAATTTCCTGTATACATTGAATGATTGGCATCAGTATCCTACACTTTTGTGTGTCGAATTAAATCCATTCATTTCTATTATTAATGCTTGAAAATAGGAAGAGGATTTGTCTTCAGAATGAAATGTGTTGTCATTTAATATACAAGTTCAATGTCAGTATATATTATTATATACATGCATAAAGAGACAAATTTTGTGCACAAAATTCAAACTTGTACTAATATTTTTTTTTTTAAATTACATTAAAATTGTCATTCTGTAAATTTTTTTCATTTCATTAATAAAAAAAAAAATTCCATTTTATAGCAATAATGCAGGTAATAAATAACTTGGGGAAAGTAAAATATTTGACTTGGAATGAATGGAATTGATTGAAGACGTGATCTATTTTGGCGAAAATGTTAATAACCTTAATTGATTCTAGAATTGAGGTGAAAGTAAAATTGGTACATAATATGGTACAGCATCTTTATTTGTTAAACTCTGCTCATACACTGTTGCCTGATGGTATGGAATATCAAGATAGATGCATGGTTCAATATTGATCACATCTAATAGGGTGGGTCTTTGTACATCTAATATAAAGATTAAAAAAAAAATGGAAGTTTGCATACGCTGCAACAGGTGGTTTTGTTGTATTTTACAAGCAGACAAACTGCAAGCAAGCTAGTTGTCTTACCGGTAGTACCGTATTAATAGTTGTCTGTAATAATAATCAAAGAATTTGTCTACACTACCTCAAGCATTTGAGAGAAATCTTATTTTAGAAAATTCATATAAAAAAATATTTTTCGTGTTAGAAGTAAAAAAAAAAAAAAAATTTATTAGTAAATTCTAAAATCAGAATTTCTATTGTACAAATTCACAAATAATTATTTTACTTGTGTGTGCATATTTTTTTTCAAGCCCAGTATTAAAATAAAAACTGTATATGTGAAAGACTTCTTTTGTTGTTTCCATGTCACACCTTGAGCAAAAAACAGAAATAATATAATAAAAGAAAAGTAGGCTGAATGTGAAAACAAACTGTAAAAAGGCATTCAGGAAATGAATAAAAATAAAAGGAGAAACATTTTTCATATTCTGCAAATCAATTGAGTTTTAGGCATGTACAGACTGGTTTTAAACATGCTCTAATTTTTATGTTTGAATGGCTTGAGTTTTTAAAGTAGATTTCATCCTAGTCGTTGTTGTCCTTTGATGTAGAATAGAATTTTTTTTTTCTTGATTGATTTCATCGCTTAAATGCTTTAAATTGCTTGCCGGCTGTGGGGCATCTCTCTTTTTGTTAAGTGAAATTCATAAAAGCTTGAAAATATATTCTGGACCTTCTGTCTATATTGACAAAAACACACTTGCTTTGATGTCTTGCCAAGTGTTTATTCATGTACGTTAAACATGAAATTTGTGCTAGTTTACTTGAAAATATTTAAATCCATAATTAAACATTTTAGTTTCCTCAAATTTTTAAACGTCTCTAGTTTGAAAGATGAATGATGGAAAATAACTGTATTTTTGTGGTAATGTTGAAACTGAGGAGTAAGGTCAAACTAGCCTCAATCAACTTGCATATGGCTTGGTAGTGAGGAAAGGAATCAATCATTTTATTTTCAACTGAGGAGCGTCTGTTTTCATACACTTACTTTCAATACAATTTCTATACATTTTCTTGATTCTTTTTTTTCTCTATTGAAGTTAATAAAATTATCTCATACTCCTTACTTTCTTATGACAGGATACACTTTCAAGACTCCTACAATTTGTTTTCATATGTCAGCATGCTATTTATCTTGCTGCCAAGGAAATCATTTCCCTTTAATAATGCGTGTTCATTTTTCAATGTATTTATGCCTGTAATGAGTAGATATGTAACTATCACAATCTCAGGATATTGATAACATTTCTTGCTGAGCACTAGAATACAAGACTTTGCAAACCTAATTGAAATGAAGCTACAGGGCACTTCGCTCACACAATGCCTGCTGAAAGAAAAACTCATCATTAAATCAAATTGGCTGTCTCTAGCTGAGTTGATCCAAACTTAATTTCCAAATCTCCATTCGCTTCTCTTGAAAATTACCACAAGTGATAAAATTGGCTCAATTGCACGCTGTATTCATCTCCCCCACAGCTTGTATGAACATTAGGTTTCTTTCAGACCCAGGAAATTACAATCAATCAGAATTTTTTTCCTTTCCTGCTTACAATTGATTATACTATATAACACACAAGTGAATCCAGAATGAACATTCAGCTTTGATGTCTTTGCTAAAATTACCCCCTACATTTTACAGTCTTGGTTTTTATGTTTGATGAATAGCAATGTTTTCAATTGGCTACCTTTCCCCACTTAAATATCAAATTTTTACCGAATAAAAAAAACATCACCGGAGGAGTGTTATCAATGTATACGCCACTTAAAGACAGGGCAGCTTGTAGCTGGAGGCGCATATAATCCTGCTTCTCTTCCTGTTGTTTCTAAAAAAGCAAAAATAGCAATATTATCACATCAGCTGGTACCTCAATTCTCCTTCCTTTTGTCCGAAGACATCTATAGAAAAATAATAATATGCAAAGCAGCAGATACAGCAGCAGGATTACCAAAACAAGAGGGATCATGCCAGATACTAAGAGTATTTAAAATTTCCAATAAAAACAAATAAAATTGTGAATGATGGTGGATTTGCTGAAGTTATTGCCAGCCACTTTAAGGTGGTGCCCATTCTGACACCTGTTGCCACAGCTTGGCCTTGACACAGAAGTAGTTAAAAATATTGCAGCAAAAATATAGAGAAGAGGCAACAGCTGTACTCTTCAATTATTTGGCATAGGCAGATAAATGTATTGTGACATCTTGCCCAGTAACTAATCCTGTGATGGTTCTTCTGTGTTTGTCAGCCTGTATGTAGTAGCTAGAAATGAATTAAGACTTGTGGATAGCCTCTTTTCTGTACTAGTGATGTCGTCAATGAATTAAGACTTGTGGATAGCCTCTTTTCTGTACTAGTGATGTCGTCAGGGTGGTTAGTGTAATAAATTTCATACACTCTTGAATTTTTAGTTTTACAATTTTCTACTATTGTTAATAAATTTAACATTTGTGTTGTTCCTACATGTTGTAAAACTGAAGGTCAAGTGTGAAGTAACACCTCTTCTTTAATTAATTAAATGTGTAATATTATAATTACCTTTTAATTACCTGTTAATTAACAAGAAAGAATAAATATTTCTTGCCACTGTACAATCTGCCATTGTATTCAAGGCTATCTAATTAAAGTATCAAGTGACCTTAACGGTTTCAATTTGATTTCATGCCTCCACACACTCATGTTGTACTTATATATTTAGAGATAAGACACAACTAACAATCACATAGCAGTATTGTGGTCAACAGCTTGTATTGTACAAGGTTTTCTGTACCAAATACTGATTTCTATAATTATTTTTAGTTCTGTCAGATATCCAGTTTAGCATTATTCTTGATGTTTTCCATAGATGCACATTCTCTTGATGGCCATATGAAAAACTTTTTTATCCAGGCAATGTGTATATAGCCATTGATTTGAAATTGCTTCTTTAAGTGACGTGTATTTCGTTGGTTGAGGTATTCTTTATTTTACTTGTGAAAGGAGAAGTGTACCATCATTATAGTCACACTGATAAGAAACTTGGAAACGTAAACATGTTTGAGTTGCATATTCAGACACTGTATACGAGGAAGTAGATGCAGTACTTTGTGTTGCACGACCAGTGATCGAACCTGATGTCGTTAAGATGCAGTGTTTTAACATTTCAAAATTGATCAGGCAAGACGAAAGCGCTGTCTGATCCTTTCGTTGATGTAAAAATGCTGAAGTGATAAGACTTTTATACCATACTCTAAATGAAACCCTCGTGTCGAGACGTTCTTTAGACACTGAACAGATAACAAGATTAGATAAATCATATTTCTTACAAATCCCAGATGACGTTAATGATATTAAAACACATGTGCCCACTAGCAAAACTCTGGCGTTAAAGCTTAAGAAACACACAAGACGACCGCGAAGCCAGCTGATCACAGCAACGCAGGGCTAAAGATAAGTGGCCTCCAAGGAATTAGCTGGTTATTTAGTAATCTACAAAAGTTTAACATGTATCAAGTTTTTTTCCTATAATTTAAAGTGTCCTAGTTAAAAGGGTTTTCAATTAATTTCTAATTCCATGCATGATTCTGTGGCAGTTATCCATCAAGAATAAGAAATATTCGGCTCCCAAGTGACCCTATCACATCTCGTATATCACCCTTCGTTCATGTTCAGCAGTTATGAATGGAGAAATATGTATATAGAACGTGCAGCTAATTTATGATTCACAGCTCTAAATCTTACATTAATTGTTTCAATTTTAATACTACTTGAATGAAGTGTACTTGTGTTCGGTGGTTGTTAAAACGAGGTTGAAGCAATTATATTTTTAATAGTTTGATGTGCAAAGGCAGTGTTCACTATTTTTTTTTTTTCATACACTAACTTTGTTGTGTATAAAACTTCCCTTATATATATGTTCATCTTTTACCTTGTTCTTCATTGTATTGTTCACACCAATCGAGGCAGTTTACATTTCTAATTTGATTATAGATATTTGTTATATCTTGTATTTATTATTGAGTAACTGATTCAACATTCTTCTCCTCGAGAGTTGTGTTTTAACATAGTTCTTTGACAATCTATTAATATTTGCTAATCTAACTTGTCGTAAATCTCGTCAGTTATGAGTAGTCAAATATTGACTTTTTCAGATGGTTTACCCCTAAAACTCAATAGCGAAAGTTTTTTAGGCCTGTGCTGTTTTTTATCAGTATTTTTGGACTTCATGACAAACTTCCATGTTCCATATGTTATGGTTAATTATCTACCTTGACCTATATAGCTAAAGAAAATAGCTCCCTCATGTTTTCTTGTGACCACTATAGTAAATCATTAAGCACTTTGTGTCATGTAAAATAACATTCCGAGAATAATCTGATTTTATTTTGACTTTTGTAAATTAAACAATGTTTAATATGCCTATGTGTTTAAATTAATTTCACCCACTTCATTCCCTGAATTTTTTTCTTAGGTTCCAGATAACTTCTTAGTGGTATCACGAAAGACGCTGATTGAGTTCTTCAATGCCATCAAAGCTGGCAAAGATGCAGATACTTCCTGGAAGAAAGCTATATATAAAGTGATTAGTAAACTTGATGATCCACTTCCAGAGTTCTTCCGAGCACCCGACTGTCTTGAAGAACTTGAGAGAATGGTGCAGGATAGGATGTGAGCTGTCATTTATCCTTTCGCCCCTATTACTCACTATGGTTTAGCCCAATCCATTGAAATAGGTGAGGACTTTTCCAAATATGGGGGTGTTAGCTGCTGCAGAATTAACTTCCTCATGTGACTGTATACAATTTTCTTTTTAGTTATTTATATACTTTGTGTGGTAGTCTGTTTTAATTTTGAGTTGTATTTTATCAGAAATGCAATGTTTATAAATATTATATTTGAATTAGATTTTATTTGCTTTGCATTTCCATGCACATGGAATTTATTTTATTTTT